GGATTTTGCGTCCAATAATTTGAGATAAAAATTATACTTAAAACGAAACTTTTGGTGGAATTGCGACAGTTTTTTGCGTCGAATTACGTCCTATAAAGCGAGGTGAAAAACTATACTCATTAGCGCCGAACTATATCCAACACAAATTCAACGGAAAGCCAACGCCAAAAAACTAAAATACATATCCCGTGCGCCTAAATTCATTTCTCCTCCCGCACCTCTCTTGTCCCCCTTCTCTGCCTGAATCCCTCGCAGCCTCCCCCTCTTTGCTTCTCGCTCATTCGCTCAAAAACATCGCCCTCGCTTATGAACCTTCATGATCTAGTCGCCATTATGTTCACCTAGACCTAAGAAAGGTATTTGATATGAAAAACCATGACTATTTTATTTTCTTATAAAATTTGTTGTAAACTAACTTTAGTTTTTTGCTAAGTTAGATACTTAATCATTTAAGTGAAATCTGTATATTCTTCAAAAGACTTATTTGTGACTCATTTGAAAGTTAATGCATTATGACAACTTGAAGTAAGTATTTATACGATAATGTACAAGCTTGAAAGAATACTTTCACTTGACTTTCTTATATTGATGCAGCATCTGCTGGCACATATATCATATGAGGCATATTCAGGCATCTATTGAGATGTAGCAATAAATAATTTTTAACAATTTATTTAAAATTATTGGCATATCAAGCTAAATAAATATTTTATTATAATTTTTTTAATAAATTGAAGAGAATTTTGAAGATTAAATCACAACCAAAAGGCTTAATTTGAGAGGCATATTTAGTATAATAGAATATTAGTTTTTGTTCTTACTACGTTGAGCAGCGGTGACTCATCGATGAAGCTATATGTATGGTGTCTTAATGATTTATGATTTTATTCTTTAGCAATCAGATGAAGCATCAAGATAATGCATTCATGTAATCTCAATGATAAGAATCTTTGAGTGGTGACTATTTATGTTCTTCTTAATTAAGGTGAAGTTTAATGCTTCCTTGAGTAAGATGGATTATTTAGTAATAGTTGTTCAACTCTGTAACTCAAATATAATACTCCCTTGATTCTAAAAAGTTTTAATAAGTGATTAGGTTATTTGTGAGTTTATTTAATGTGGATGATGAGAGTATGATAAGTGAGAAGCTTGGAAAATTCTACCCATCAATGTTTAAACTCCCCCATAAATTCTACTAATTGCGCACACATTCACTTATATGTAAGTTGAATTAAATAATAACACATGACTATTGATGTGCTTAATAAGTTCATAATTAAAAAGTTGAAATTACAAATTCGAGCTTGCTAGATCTCGCTCGGGTACCTATGTGCATCATGAATATGTAGCCAATTTTTGATGTAAATGGCTATAGATTTCACATGTTCTTAGTATAAGAGAAAATTAATAAATAACTCTAGTGTTTGTGTAAAAGTAAACATCAATTCAAATAATGAAATAAACTACTATGGGATTTTCAAGAAATAGTCCAGTTGTAATATCCTAACTTTATTAAGTAAAGTGTATTTATGTTCAATTATGAATAGTTTGATCATGTTATTAATCATAGACTAGTAATTTAATCATTTTGTTCTAACATGACAAACGAGTCGAGTGTATTATCTTAGATACCCTCATAGAGCAAAAGAGAAATTAAATGGGGTGATCGCCATCAAAGCCAAACCCAATGTGATTATTGAAGTTCAAATAAGTATCAAATCTACTCATTAGGAAGAAGAAATATCTGATTTTTGCATTCTAATTAATTTTGATAAGCAAAAGTTTAAATGATATTAGTGATGCACATGAAGAAATTAATCATATTGAGTATTATTTAGGTGATGATTTAGATTAAGAAATTTTACGTTCAACCTCTAGTCATTCATCCCATGAATAAGAATGAGATGTGTACGCAATTTTTTACTTTGTTCATTTTACTTATTTTATTCCACATTTAGGGTTTAGTGTTTTTTTGCTGATTTTACTTCTTATATTTGCTATTTTTAATTATTGTGCTTTGTATTTTTACTTCTTATACTTCTGCATTTATTTTTTGCACTTATACTTTTACTTGTGTTGTTTATTATTTTTAAATTCTTCTATTTCCTTATTTTTACGAGCAACATTATGACAATCATCACCATAATCTCTGCTTTCAGCCTGGCCCATAGCTTCACCCCTAAAGTCGCCAGTGTACTACACTTCATTATATGTCACAATACTATCATCACTACTTTCATTCCGGGTAGGTCTCTTCACATTTTTAGACCATGGCATGTCAAGCATCATGTGACAAACATACATTGAGCCTGATGAAGATATGTAAATAATTTAGAGCCTAATAAATGCGATTCTTTTTCTATTTGTTTATTCAACTACTAATAATTTATTATTACATGTTTTATCCATCTAAGTAAAGTGTTCACCGTATCAGGGATATCGTTAGAAGCAAATATGATGCTCTGAACTTATTATGTAAATAGATTCTGATTGAAGTTTTGAATATATAGTTTAGAGTGTTTGGGCTAAATCTTAAATAAAGATCTTAAATTATCTATAACTATATTCATCAAACTGATTGATGTTTGACGTATACCAAATATTGATATATTTTTTAACAAATTGTTCATAATTATTTATTTAGTTTTATGCTTTTTATGATATTTGAGATTTTAGATGCAATTTATGAGTGATTAGACAATTTGAGAAGCAAATGAGATAAAGAACTCAAAACGAGCTAAGCTAAGCTGAATAGGGTTGCCCAGACCCGCTCACCATACCCAGGAGAGAGGAGTGGAAGGAGAGAGAGAGAGATAGAGAGAAAGAGGGTGAGAATATGGTGAGCCAACAGGGGACAAAGAAAGAGAAAGTGAAAGAGAAAGAGAGTGCAGAGACAGAGAAGTGTCGAAGAGTGCATGAAAGAGATAGAGAGAGAGCGACAAAGGGAGAAGGGAGAGAAGGAAATTGAGGAGGGAGGGGGTATGGGAGAGAGAGTTAGAGAATTGGAGAGGGATAGTGAAAAAGAGAGAAAGTGAGAGAGAGAGAGAGAGGAGAGAGAGTAAAATTTATTAATTTTTAGCAAACTTAGGAAGTGGAGCATTCTGTCTATACCTAGGCATTGGGCGCAGGGCTTGGCATGGGATGGGCTTATTCAAGCTTTGATCGACCAAAGGGGCTTTGTTCAGGCTTGACCCCAGTTTCTATTTATAATTTCATAGTTAGGCCCGCCCACCAAATGGGTCAGGCCGGCCTGCAAGCTCACGAGCCTTAAAAGAAAAATGAGTTTTCATGTCAAAACTCATTATCATTTCCCTTAATTAAAAAAATAATTAAATCAAGAAAATTGTGCTTAAATTTATGTTGAATGAGTTTGTAAATTTTTAATTTTTTAAAAACATGAATATAAATTTAAAATTTTAATTAATTGTTAATATATTATTAGTATTATAAAAAAAAGAAATAGTTAATATAATATTTAATAATTTCCTCAAATCACATTATTGATTTAAAATAATAAAAAAAATTTATGTAATATGAATGATAAAAGGATCCACGGCAAAAGTTCTAAATTGATTTTATAGGTACCATACATCAGAATATGACTGCACAAATTTTGAGGAAATTTGGTGGGTCTCACTTAATGAACACCAAAAGATTGCATTGGGATAGTCCAAAGATGGAAGTGTCATGCAACGTTTCCTTCAAATGGAACTACTAGCAAACCAAATGGAGGAACAAGCCGAATGAAAGAATATGAGACACCTAATCTTAGGGACAGTCATTTGTAACCAGCTCCCTCGACTAATTATGAGATTTTTCACAAAGAAGGCCACAGAGCACCACGTGGAATATCTTCCCAATCCTCTAAGAAGGCTCCTTTTCTAAGAAGAGTTGCTCGTCAGATTATGGCGATAGACCCTCTGCCTGAGAGTCCAAATTCACCCTAATGACAAAAAGGTCTCTATTGGGGACTATCTTTAAAAGACTAACCAAAGACATTCTAGTCAATCGAAGACCTCTCAGCCAACCGAATGATTCTCAGACGACCGAATGATAACACCATCAGGCCATTAAATGACTCTATTCAAATAGTTGTGACTACGAAACCATGTCGTCATTAGTTATAGATATTAGAGAGTCCCAGTGTCGGTAATAGATATGAAAATGTGCAATACTTACTTGTAACATTCCTATTAAAACAGGGATAAACATGTAATTTTACTATATATCACTAGGATTTATAAATAGAGAGCCATTTCTTCAATAAAGAGCTATTGAATTGTTTGTCTCAGAACTTGTGTTACTGTCTATTTTCCTTTATCTCTCTAACACACTCTCTGTCTCTCTCTTTCTCTATGTTATTCTTATCCGTTCAATGCACTATACCCTGTGTGTGATCCACAGACCATTTTTGGATTCAACATGTACATTTTTTTTTTCTTATGCGTTAGGTGAATTTATTTGATGTGCATACACATAGAATATGTAATATTTTAAATTCAGAACATCTCTATATGTCAATACAAATGATTTGAGTAAAACACCACAAAAAAAGATACACTTATCAATTTCTATTTAATTATATATCAAACACCTGAACTTCAATTTTTACATATTTGTCATTTTATTATCTATACATGAATGTCATATTTCATTTGTTTAAAAATAAAAAAAAATGGTAATTTTTATGTTATATGAAAGAGTATGACTATATGGAGAAGAAAAAGAAAGAGAAGATTAATCGCTTTAAAAGCTTACAATTGTGAACTATACTGATGAGACCGGGCTATTGGGCGTGTCCGATACGATGTAGGTCGGTCTCATTCGAACTTTAACCAATTTGAAACAGGCTTGGCCCCATAAACTTCTACTTATTTGTGACCAATCTTGTTCATTTTAAGCGGACTTATCACAAGCCCGTGGGCCACCCGCCCAATGCCAATCAAAGTTTACAAATTTTAGATTGTTGTGTCAAATCTTTCGGCTTTTTAACACCACCGCTTCTTTATGAGCGAAGTGCCAAGGACCGAAGACCTGAGTGTCAATGGAGGTGATGCGCCACGCTTCCACCTTTCTTCTTCCCTCATCGTTAGAAACCACCGATAATTTCCCGTCGTCGGTGGACGCCCTCATTATCCTAAACCAGCGTCTCCCTCGTTTTGCTCCTCTCCTCTGGGAACGCGGTATTCTCCCTCCTCCCTCTAAATTTAACTCTTGGTTTTCTACTCCTTTTGTTTGTCTTTGCTTCGATTTGTTAAGTTCTGGAGTTTTGCTTCGTGAACAGCGAAGCTGAGGGTTTGCGCGGATGGAGGGGCAAACAGTGTTTTTGATGGAATGCCGGAATTTTTTCCCGATGAGGATCCGTGGGAGGTTAGGCTTAGGTTTGTTCTTCTTTTCTTTCCTTTTTTTTTTTACTAATAATAATCTTCATCGTTTATTTATTTCTTTTAATTTTTAATTGAGGATGAACGTGGTGGTGGTACAGATCCTAGAATTAATTCTGTGTTATTCAGGGTACTGAAATTCATAGTCTTGATTAAAACATGGTGCTGCACAATTAACTTCGCCTTGAAAAAAATTTTTGGTTAATTTTAAAACAAATTGTTGTTTCTTTCCTTTTTTTTTTTTTTGGTGAAATAAGACTATATATTTTGTAATCGAGGTAAGAGTGACTTGGTTTGGTCTTGCTTGGTTTGCTTGACTTGGCTTGCATTTTCTTTAAACCAAAAGAAACTATTTATAGAAAACATGAGAGCGGTAGGGGGGGCAGGGAGAGAAGAAAATAGAAATTTTCTTGTAAACGTCGAGCGTAATTCCTCGAATAAATAAAATCCTCTGCAGCTCCGTGGACGTAGGAAAATTTGCCTAACCACGTAAATTTGTGTGTCGCTCTGGTGTTTTTTCTCTACGTGCAATTTTATTCGTTCCATTTTTTATTTTGTTATCATCGTTTTTCACAAAAACTGGTATCAGAGCTTTGGTTCGAATCTAAGGAAGAACAATAGGCGGAGACGAAGTGATGACCTCGGGGATCGAGACTCGGGGATCGAGAAGGGGATCGAGAAGTTCAATGACACAGATTTTGCTTACTGGAGGATGCAGATAGAGGACTGTCTCTATGAGAAGAAACTTTGTTTTTCGTTACTAGGAAAACGACCAGACAAGATGAACGAGGCGGAATGGAATCTGTTGGATCGACAGGTTCTGAGAGTTATATGATTAACCTTGTCGAGATTGGTTGCCCACAACGTCATCAAGAAGATGACTACTGCAGATCTCATGGCGACTTTATCAGGTATGTATGAAAAACCATCGGCGAATAACAATGTGCATTTGATGAAAAAGTTATTCAACTTGAAGATGGTGGCACATAAAGAGAATTATAGAAATCCCAAGTAGATGGAGAATGACAACGCAAATATGGTAACTGTAAAAACACAGTATGCACTATTGCAAATTGTTTATAGTTCTGATGATTACTGAAAATTGGATGTTGTCATCATTGTCAAATAGTTGGGAAGTCATGAGGATGATAGTTAACAGTTCTGCAGGTAAATTCAAGCTGAAATATGATGATATTCGTGATTTGATTTTGGTTGAGGAGGTGCGCAGGAAGGATTATGGCGAGGCCTCGTGTTCAAGTTCGGCGCTGAATGTTGATTCCAGAGGGAGATCACATTACAGGAACTCAAACAGAGGAATACCAAAATCAAAGTCTGGTCAGCAGACAACCTGTTGGAATTGTGGCAAGGCTGGCCACATAAAAATGAACTGCAGGAATCCTAAGAAGAAGGAGAATGATGGTGTTAATGTTGTAACTGAAGAAATACATTATGCACTATTTCTGACAGTTTACAGTTATGTTGGTGACTGGATTCTAGATTCAGGGGCTTCCTTCCATACATCTTCCTGTCGGGAGTTAATGCGAAATTATGTTGCAGGTAATTTTGGGAAGGTATATCTGGCTGATGGAAAAGCTCTAGACGTGGTGGAGATGGGAGACATTTTGCAAAAGGACAGACACGTTCCTGAGTTGAAGAAAAACCTCATCTCTGTGGGGCAGCTCAATGAGTGTGTTCGTGGTCATGCGTTAGTGTTCTTAGATAGCACTTGGAAGGTTACCAAAGGAACATTAGCATTAGCTCAGTGTAAAAAAACTGACACACTATATATGACTACAGGTTTGTTTTGCAAAAGGACAGACACGTTCGTGAGTTGAAGAAAAACCTCATCTCTGTTGGGCAGTTCAACGAGGGTGGAGGGTGGTCATTCGGTAGTGTTCTTAGATAGCACTTGGAAGGTTACCAAAGGAACATTAGCATTAGCTCAGTGTAAAAAAACTGACACACTATATATGACTACAGGTTTGCTCAGGCGTGGACACATGAGTCAGAGGTGCATTATGGGGAAGTAGAAGAAGGTCCATTTCCTGAAAAGTGGCAGAGCGCCAAAGGCAGGAAAATCAGACATTGTACAAACAAATGGTGGAGAAACATAGAGCTATGAAGAAATCTTACAAGATGAGAATTCGAGCAAGGGGGAGCTGACCAAGAAGGAGGAGACAGATTCCCTGCCAGAAAATCAGACTTGGGAGCTGACAGAACTTCCACCAAAGAAGAAGGCAGTGCACAACAAGTGGGTGTATCGGGTGAAAACTGTGTTTGGTGGCAGTAAGAGGTACAAAGCAGTATATGGTTGGATTGTTGAAAAGGGCTTTCAGCAGGGGCAGGATATTGCTCATGCAGTGAGAGTTGTAAGCAGATACAAGAGTAACCCAGGAAAGAGCTTGGTGGTACGAGGCTACGTTGACGGTGATATGTTAACTGAGGGTGTTACTCGTGAGAGCGGAAGTTGGGCTCGACCTCAGCTGGGCTTCTAGCATGAAGAAAGGCTTCGAGTTGCAGATGTGGATGAGATCATGCTTGAAGAAAAAAGGTCGGTACAACTAGTAGATGATACAGCGAGTAGGTGATGCAGTTAGTGTCTCAGTCTCCAAGTGGGAGAATTGTTGGGTAATGTGGAGACCCGGTCCACAGAATTTAATTAGCTTCTTAATTAAGTATCTCACCTACCGCTCACCTACCACACTCACCTACCGCTCACCTATCACATCTCACCTACCTTCCACCTACCGCTCTCACGGTTTCTATAAATAGTCTCTTTTGGTTTAAAGGAAATGCAAGCCAAGCAAGACAAAGCCAAGTCATCTTGAGAGCTAAGAGAAAGAGAGGAAGAGAGAGAGAGAGGAAGGGGAGAGAAGAAAATAAATATTTTCTTATAAACATCGAGGCACTCGACGATGTAATTCCTCAAATAAATAAAATCCTCTGCAGCTCCGTGGACGTAGGAAAATTTGCTGAACCACGTAAATCCGTGTGTCGCTCTGGTGTTTTTCCTCTGCGTGCAATTTTACTCGTTCTATTTTTTACTTTATTGTCGTCGTTTGTTACAACATTAGGATGGAAAAATCGAAACATTTATGTCTGGTTTTTAGAACCCTAGACATATATGCATCAACTACTTGAGGCAACCTGAAGTTTAATGAATAAACATATATTTTGAAAAAAAAAATTTTAATTTTCTTCATTTAGCTTGTGTGGCTATGACATTGGCTGGCAGATGTTGGCTCAAGCTTACTTCATTCATCTCACAAGATATCGTCTGTGAGCTGAAATTGGAGGTGTGAATTATGAATAAGAGGGATTGAAAAATTAAAGATAATTAGTCAATAATTAGATGAAGTTTCCTTGGTCTTTAAAGTCTGTAAAGTAATGAGTATTTGGTTAAATTTTTTTAAAGAAGTGCTGTCCTTTTGGCTGAAATGTGAGAACTATAGCTTTTTTTGTCAATTCTTTTCTTGATGTTATACATACGTTGTGTTGATTATGTTTGATGGTTGAATTATAATTGATATGCATTTATAGGTGGTAGTGTTTATACTTATTCAGACACAATTTTTTTTTATGGTGATAGGTACAAACCAGATGTAATTAATGGTGACATGGATTCAATAAGAGCAGAAGTGAAGGATTACTATTCTGATTTGGTATGAAATATTATTTGATGACTTATGTTTTGTGTTTTTTTCTTTCTGTTGTTCTTGTGAGAATCTGAAATCATCTATGACATTTTTACCAATTCGTGTCAAAATTATGCTTCTAATGCTTTTAGCAATATAAAAAAGTTTTTAAAATCATAAAAATTAAATAATGCAATTTATGATGAATTGAAAAAAGCCTAACCAGAAGGCTAGTGTAGTCTCTGCTCATCCATGCGAGAGTTATCGTCATTTCTATTCTCAAGATAGGCAATTATCTCTATTCTGTTATAGTATGAATAGGTGAAAGTTTAGGTTATTTATATCAAAGGAAGAATAATAGATTGCAGCCGAGATGGGAATAGATTTAACACTGATCTCTAGCTGGTCTGGTGGTGGCTCAAAATCGAATGGAACTAGTAGCACCAAGCGCAAAATTAATTCGTGCTTAGATTTTGAACCAAGTATGCCAGAATTTGCTCAATTTCTTTGGCCCATTTTAAGCCAGCTCAAATGCTTGAAATCACCAGAAATGAAATTGAAAAAAATTAGCAATGCTTTGTTTTACCCTAATCATCACAAATTTGGTTATGCAGTTATTCTATTTAAAGCAGTATATTACAATTTTTCATCATAAAAAATTAATCACAGATTCAAATTTTGAAAAAAATTATACATCTTGTTTATTCATAAACAAAATTAAGATAACATGCAAGCAACTTATGTAGGTTATGATAATATAAATTATGGGCATTTACATACTTACCACATAATTTGTATGTATTTATATATCTAACATCTAAACTTTCACATTTACATGCATATAACTCAATTCTTTAATACGACATCAAAAATACCACCAACATTACCTATATAAAAGTGAAACAGACCTTTTCGTGAAAGTGAAATACACATTTTCATGCATAGGTTTATGACACCAAGATGTTATTAGTGTAAATATCAAACTTTGGGTGTTAAATATTTAAATACATAAGAATTGTGTGGTTTATATGTAAAGTTTCCTATAATTTATAATGTGAATGAAATGAGAGCAATCATTTTCTTCTCAAATGCAACTTTTTGAATAACTTCATGTGTGAAGAAAAATGCACTCATTTTCCTTTACAGATCTTATAATTTAAAATCATTCTAAGGGTGTGTTTGGGGTGGCGGCTATTTTTCTAAGAAGCAGTTGTAAAGCTACTTCCTGGAGAAGCAACTTATTAGGAGCTGTCAGAAAACTGCTGATGAAGAAGCAGTGGTCTGTTTAAGAGATCTGTTGTGATGCTGCTATTTCTGATGAGAAGTCTGTTTTGCCCCTATTCCTATATATATAATATATTCAAATAAGTGCAATTTTTCAGAATAATTACAACTAAATAACAGAAAGATGTTCTACCACAAGAAAAACATCAGTACAATGCAAAATATTCTTATACATAAAAAAATGATCAGTTATTTGAATGATATAACTACAATAGTAAGGACAATAACAGTAACCAACAGTCCTAGAATGATGTCCGTCTTGAAGTTCTGATGATCGAATCAAGTCTTTAGGACAATCTCCTCTCCTTGCTAGCATCTCTCTTCACATGATCATGGTTTGGTGGAACTCATCAGTGTCATCAACCCAACAGAAACAGTCACAATCAGTAAGAGTCTTGTTTCTGGGACAAGAGTAAAATCCTCTCTCGTAGCTGTCTTTTCTTTTTGATTGGCACTGAATCACCTATCGCCACAATGGCAAAGCGAAACTTTCGAACTACATGACGCTCTTGAACTCATATTTTCTGTCATTATAAAATACTATAGCTCCAATTAACCAAAAAAAGCAATATAACCTTCAATAAATATCAAAGAGTAAATTGTCTTAAAATTAAAAATAAAAGCTTATTAAGGTACATAAAAGAACTATAATATAGATTGCTACAGAAAGCAATATAACCTTCAATAAATATCAAAAAGTAAATTGTCTTAAAATTAAAAATAAAAGCTTATCAAGGTACATAAAAGAACTATAATATAGATTGCTACAAATATTTAGAACATATATATCCAGAGAACCAACGTAGCGTTGACATATGAATCATCAACAATAAATTAGCAAGTGATATCACATAGTACAGTCTTTGCACTTACCAAAATATCAGTAATCAACTCTCTTAACTGTATCATCTCCTGGACGCTTCTCCTTCAAGACTTTTGTACTCGTTAGTCTTGAAGCGCTAAATTTCGGCCCGATGTTGGTTAGCTTCCTCAGGCATGTAGGTAAGATCTTCATTTAAGACTCTAAAATCGATATTATCTCATGATGGATATCTTCGTATAATATTATGGAGTGATATTGTCGCAATAATTTATCTTCATTTGTTTTTTGAACAATGCGTAGGCATATTTTGGATTATGACATACTTCTTCCTCCATACACCGAGTGCACTTTCGATGACACTCTGTAATGACGAGTGTATTTTGTTGAAGAGTTCATTCCTCCCTTTACTCACCTGGGCTCTCAAAAACAGGAAGTTGATGCCTCGTGTCGGGAAATGACTTCAAAAAACCCCATTGTAATGAATATTTTGAGTCGACTAGGTTATATTTTCTTGAATAGTGACAACTTTAGTAGATTTACTCAAATGAAAATATTATATTGATGGCTAAAATGCACCAATCTTGAGGAGGCTCAAAATCAAATCCATGATATCAAAAAGAAAACAAATTTGGTAGAGAGGATTTAAAAGTAGAGCTCGGACTCAAATCCATGATATCAGAAAGGGCTTCATTTAGGATCACCAATTGTGTACTTTAGGCATAAAGACCAGGCAATATCTGTAAAAAGTTGTAGAGCTGTTTTTTTCAATTCACAATTGGTAATCATTGGAGCCTTTTGTTTTGTTTTATTCCATTATTGCTCTACAAAATATTTCACAATAAAAGTAAAATGTGTCACAAAAACAAAGTCCAAAAGCATCACTGTAAATGGAAACCAATAAACCAACAGGTTCACAAACCATCCAAAGCAATAAGATCAGATAAATCTCAAAAACTATGGCATACAAGTTAGCAGAATTTATTTTCTCGTATGTTCATGCAGGAGAAGTTATGAGAAGTTAGATATATATGAATACTATTTTTCTGCTTCGTTGAGAATTTGTTTTGGACTTGTTTTTTATATGTTTGTTCTCATGTTAGTAATTGTTAATTTGCTTGCTCTTGCCTCTTCTTCAGTCTAAGAAGAACATTTAGGGGCAGAAATTTGAGAACTGGTTCTTTTTTTTATTTGAAAGATTTTTACCATTAAAAATGCCTATGTTCTGATGCAAACTTGAAGGTTATATGCATATTAGTTATCATCAATCATTTGTCTCTGTTTCAATCACACTAGTCAGATTGTGTTCTTCAACAAATCATTAGAGCTCAGTGAGATCTCTTAATCAAAGAAGACTCCATCCATAATCACCAATTTTTTCATTTATTCCAACACTTCTATGTGTTATCTAACAACAGGTAGTATCTGTGGAAAAACTTACTTGTCAATTTTAAAATTTATAAATGGTGACCGATTGGGTGTCTTGATAGTTATTTTTCATCATCGCTTTAAATAACTATTGAAAGATCTCGTCAATAATTGTGATTGTGTACCATATTTGTCATACTCAATATTTAGAAGTTTATGAACTGTACGAGTAATCTTAGGAATCTCTATTTATTTACTTCTGTATTAGGTTAGTTAGTTGAATAGTATATTTATCCTTAATTATGGAGATTAGCTATCTTTTTTGTTCCTAGTTAAGCTCTTTAAATAGTTGTACATCAATATAGAATAATCATTTAGCCTTCTTATATTTTTTTGTTCACTGTTTTTATGATATCAGAGCAAAAAATCCTAAGTTTGAATTTTTTTTCTTTTCATCTCTAAAATGTCTGAAGTTACGTCTAGGACAAGCCAGCCTCTTCAGTCATCTCAGTCCGAACCTCAGAGAAATACATCTGAAAACCATCCCATTCAGATCACTACAATCCAACTAAATGGTGATAATTTTCTTGGATGGTCACAACCTGTTCGCATGTATCTCCGAGGAAGAGAAAATATTGGTTATATCACAGATGATACTAAGCAGCCTGACGTGAATGACAAAACTTATGTCATTTTGGATACGGAAAACTCAATGGTAATGACATGGTTGGTCAATTTCATGACTGAAGAGATAAGTGCAAATTACCTGTGTTACTCTACAGCCAAGGAATTATGGAACAATGTTTCAGAAATGCACTCTGATCTTGGAAATCAATCCCAAATTTATGAGTTAACTCTATGACTTGGGGAAATTTGCCAAAGTGAGGATTCTGTGACAAAGTATTTCAATTTTCTTAAGCGGATTTGGCAGGACCTAGACTTATTCAATAATTATGAGTGGATATCAATCGATGACTGCAAACAGTACGATAGTGGATATTGGCCGAATCTTCAAATTTCTTGTAGGTTTAAATGTTAAATATGATGAAGTCCGTGGCCGAATAATTGAAAGAAATCCCCCGCCTCCAATTGGTGAAGCTTTTGTGGAGGTAATGAGAGAAGCGAGTCAGAAGCATGTGATGTTGGGGAGGAAGACTGCAGCTTCAATTCTGTCCGTGGAAGGATCAGCGCTGGTCATTTCTGAAGCTCAAGTAAGCAGTAAAACTTCTCACAACCAGCATGTAGAATACAAAAACAACCTGCAATGTGACTACTATGGAAAGTCATGCCACTCGCGAAAAATGCTGGAAGTTGCATGGTAAACCACCTAATTGTAAGGGAAAAAAATATGTTGAACATAGCACACCTACAACAAATGAGGCCGAGTCATCTCCATTTAGTAAAGAGCAATTAATTCATCTTCTTAAACTGCTGAAATCTTGCTCATCATCTAATGCTCATATCGGTTCATATCGGTTCTATAATGCTCATATCGGTTCTATAGCACAAGTAGGTAGTAATTTTTTGGTTTTATCTGTTCTAGGAAGTACCACTC